TTTTTTCTTAAAAAACAATTGCTTTTGTTTAAAAGGACCAAAAGTCGTTTGAGAAAATGACTCCAATCGTTTAAACTGACCAAAAGTTTTGCCCTTTATCACTTTTCAGAATGTCAGTAAAAATAAATAAATAAAAATCAACATGTTTTCACTTGTAATATGAATTAAACCAACTTGGAAAAACGACTTAACATTCAAAAAAACACGAATTACATAATAAATTTGGTATGAAATATCACAACAAACTCACATAAGACATCGTAATAAGTTGAAATAAAGTTACATTGTTAAATTGTTGTTGTCTTGAATGTGATCTGTTATAATTTGAGTAAAACTAAATATAACGACAGAAGCATAAAAAAGAAGAAGAAGAAGAAGAAGAAAGCTGGAATGAAGAACAAATCAAAGACAATTTGGAGTAAAATTAATGTTCATTTTTGAGAAAAGAGTGTTATTTTTATTGCATGTAAAGGACTTTTAAGATATTTTAACAATATAGAAAAGGATAATTTAGACATTTTAACTTCAAAAAGGCCTTAAAAACTTATTTGGAGGAAGTTACGCCTCAAAAAGTTTTAAGGCTTGACTAGGCCGTTTTTACGAATTTCCTTTATTAATAACTCCTTAAAAGTGTTTTTCATTTAAAGAGCCTATTGAAGGTACTATGATATGAGCTCACAAAATTTTGTCAGAATTAATGTTCAGTCAATAACTTAATAAAAATAAAAATAATATAGACTTTCGTGATGTACATGAACAATTTATTGTTGATCATCGATGACAAACGCACCAGTGGTGATTTCCAATGATATTATCGACGACGGTGTGGTTAATAATTGATAACAAAGTGAATCAATGATAAATGATGATAATTGCTGATGATTTCAAAATTCCTTATGAAATCAAGTAACAAATATTAATTTTTGCTAGAACCATCTTTAAAATCAGTTCAATCAGTGGCGAAGTCCGCTTAAGTACTCACTTCCGCTTCGCGGTAAACATAGAACATGTAATAGCTTTAAAATTACATCAGGACTTCGTTCTATAAATTAAAATTAAAAGATTCATTTTAAATTGTATATTAGGTGAGCTTTTTTTATTATTGTACTGGTTTGTGTGACGATTTTATTTTTACTACCTCTTGTTTTTGTTTAGCAATTTAGCACTATAGTCGATCCGTGCATTCTTGTTAGTTTTACTTACAGCAAAATTCTACGTAGCTCTTATATACTAACAATATGTCGAGTTTAATGTCTAAAGATGAAGGTGATGGAAAAAATTCAAAATGACATACTCGGTATTGGATAAAAAAATTCTCATCTAGCAACTAAGAACAATTAATCAACGGTCATTAATTCCTCCATCAGATATTATCTATATTCAATTTGTTTAAAATTAGGAAAATTTACAAATACATTCTTTATAGTTGTAATTACAATTTCTATACGTGTTTTATGATTTAACATTTAATATACTACGTTTTGCATAATCTGGACTAAGGATAAATTAAACCTAATATTTGCTAACCTATTATTTAATATAAGCATTTGATTATTTCATTAAAAAAAAAAGTATTTATTATTGTGTTTGATTACAATTACTAAAACAGACATTGAAAGACCATATGTACTAATTTTTACTGGCTATGCTGTTAAAAAATAATAAATAAATAAATAAATAACTGCTAGTTTTATAAATACATGTTATGATATATAATATTTACATAAGAACATATATACACAGTACTTATACTAGAAGGAAAAGATTAACATAAAGATTCAAAAAAAAAAAATTTATAATATAGATAAAATCAATTTTGTTGTAAATAAAATAGTATTTGTGAATAACCATTATATATTTGCAACTCTAGTTATTACGACTCTTGTATTCCTTTCGGCCGTAATCCTTTCTCGTAAATAGGAGGATTTAGTTTTCAATAAAATACACAAAAATCTATTGACTCCTCTAATTTCTTCTCTTTTCTCTCTATTTAATTACAAATTTCTCATAATCCATAGATGTAAAATATCCACAAACCTAGGACAAAAGGATTATTATTTTATGAGGGTTAAAATTGGTATTTTAAATTATGGGTAATTGAAGGAGTCAAAGGAAATATCTGAAAATCTTACGATTGGTTTGCGTTTTCGTTTTCTGCATTGAGAGACTATTTTCGAATTATAAAAAATGTGTTTGATTTGTCATTTTGAAAAATGATTTCTTAAAATAGAAAACTAGAAAATGCGTTTGGTTTAAAAATTTTAGAAATTATTTTATGACATTTATTCAATTAATTTGATTATTTAGTAAAACATAATAATTTTAAACTAATACATTACTAGATAATATATATTTTAATCTTGGTGAATTTACTTTTTTTTCTTGCTATAAATAAAATAATAATTAATAAATTTTTAGAAATTTTTTTGACATTTATTCAACTAATTTGATTATTTAGTAAAACATAAAAATTTTAAGCTAATACATTACCAGATAATATATATTTTAAACTTGGTGAATTTACCATTTTTTCTTGCTACAAAAATAAAATAATAAATGTTAAGCAATTGTTTCATGACATTTATTCAATTAATTTGATTATTTAGTAAAACATAATAATTTTAAGCTAATACATTACTAGATAATATATTATAAACTTGGTGAATTTACTATTTTAAAAGTACTGCTGAGCATCCCTAAATTCCCTAAAAAAAAATTTTAAAAAAAGCGTGTTATGAGAGTTTTCCACGTTTTGGGTTTTTTTTTAACTGAAAACGCCCAAAATGAAAAAAAATCGTTTTGCGTTTTCAATTATAAGTTTTTCCCTGTTTTCGAAAATGAATTTTCTAAAACGAGTGACCAAATGTGTTTTGAGCGTTTTCAAAAACTAAAAACAAAAAACGACTCGAAAAAGGTAAAAGGAACACCCCCTAACATTTTTTAAAGTTCACTAAACTTCTCAAATTGGTTGTTTGATAATTAGAAGTTAAAGCTCTAAAAGCAATGCCAAACTGAAACTTCCTTTATATAAAACACTATAAAATTCTCCATTTCATCAAAATATATTCATCAAATGGGAACCTCAAAATGCATTGTGCTTTTGCTAATGGTAATATCTGGTTTCAGTACTGCGTCATTGGCAGCTTATGAAGAGGATGTAAGAATAAAATGTGCCTCCACCAGATATCCTAACTTGTGTGTAGAAACCTTGACACGATTAGGCTCATCTGGAAATCAACATTGAGATTCTGCACTAGTTAACAAGACAATATCAGAAATCAAGGTCCCGATTTCAAAATTTGAGCAACTCAGCTCCCGTTTCGTCTCTGAAGATGCCCAACTTGCTCGAATCATGGGTGCATATCGTTGATTCTTTCAAATTTACAATTCTTGTCATTCTTCCATTTTTTTTTCTTTTCAACAGCTAGGCGATGAGTCTGTGTTAAACTAAATTTTGGGCTGCCTCACAACTTTTGGCCCATATTTTTTAGCATGGACCAGGTCATCTGTATTTGGGCTGATTAGTTTTCAACTGTTGAAGATTTTAAAGAAAATGTCCTTATGCAAACACGTTTCTTATTTTGCCTCTTAAGGATTGAGTATCAGCCGTACAAGTGACTGATACTCATACCTTGGATCCTGACTCTTTAGTTGACCAGATATTTAACTTGGTTTGGCTCTTCATTCTCGATTATGCTTCGTGACTCTCTCTCTCTCTCTCTCTCTCTGCCTTTTCCCTTTCTCTAAGTGTAGTTAGGTTTATTGATTTCTTTCTCTGTAAATCTAATATTCATCTTAGTGGTGAATCTTTCATATAACCGTGTAAATGAGAGTTGAGTGCTTTCATTGTAGAGGCTGATCTTTGTGATTTCCTATAGGAAAGAGGCTAGAGAGATATATCGAAGAAACTTTCTGCTTTCGTCCATGTTGTAACATTTTTTTGGTTCTTCTTAGTAGATCTTGAGCTATATCTGTTTACAGATGCTCAACGGGTGATTAGGTCGAAAGGCTGAACATCTGGGCCCCTCTTTGGGGCAAAAAATTATCGTGTTGTTCTTTTGTTGTTTCTGCAATTTATTTTTAAATCGACAAAGCCACGAAATAATTCGATCTGGACCTTTACAGTCTGCATTCGATTCCAACTGCAGATTTGAAATGGGTTCCAGTTTCCAGTTTCTTAATTCTCAGATCATTTGACTTTTTTCTGCCTGAAAATATGCAGATTACTGTCATGAGCTCTTGACAATGTTTACCAAATGGCTTAACTGTTCTTTGAGGGCACTTAGGGAATCACCAAGAAAGCGCAAGGAAGAGGTCCAGACATGGCTGAGTGCTGCTATAACTTATCAACAAACATGCAAGGATGCAGTAGAGGCTGAGGCTCCAGCAAATGTCTTCCTAGTTGAAATTTCCAGGAAAATGGACTATCTTGGACTATCTTTCTGAAGTGACCAGTAATCCATTGGCCCTGGTGAACCAAATCCCAGGAAAGTCAAAAAACAAAATTTTCACATGCCGGTATCTTTTAGAAGAAGAAGTTTTCCCGCCTGGGTACCCAGGAGTGATAGGAAACTGCTTCAACGTGAAAAAATAAAAGCAAACGTTATAGTTGCCCAAGATGGCTCAGGGAACTATAAAACAATCTCAGCTACCATCCAGGCCACCAACGGGAATCGATTCATAATCTATGTGAAATCAGGAATTTACAACGAAAAAATTAACAGCAACGAAGATGGGATTATGCTAATTGGTGATGGAAAATACTCAACTATCATTACTGCAAATAGTAGTGTGGCTGGGGGGTTTTCAATGCTACTGAACACTGCTACATTTAGCGAGTCCTCTCTGTACTCTCTAGTTACTTAAAATTAAATCTTTTAGTCATAAATTTAATGATATAGCTGCCATTAACGTCCTAAAAGTATCCCTATTTTTTCATTCTTTAGCTTTTTTATGGAATTCTAATTTACATTATTAGCTAATACTATTTAATGCGCAAAAATGACCCTTTTCTGTGGAACTTTCAATTTAGGAGATCTAAAGACAGATTCCAACAACACCGGAAGTAGATTGACAGTCATCTTTTTTAATTTTTTGTCAGAAACTACAGGAAATGGGTTTATAGCACGAGATATTGAGTTTCAGAACATGGCAGGGCCACAAGGAGCACAAGCCGTTGCACTAGCTATAGCCTCAGATCGCGCCGCTCTGTATAGTTGTAGCATTTCCGGTTACCAGGATTCGCTGTACGCAGTCTCCCTTCGCCAATTTTACTGCGAATGTGACATATACGGTACCATAGACTTCATTTTTGGGAATGCTGCTGCTGTAATCCAAACTAGCAATTTGATCCTTCTCCAACCAGCTGATGGAGCATACAACTTGATCCTGGCAAATGGGCGGACCGATCCAGGGTAAAACACAGGAATCTCTATCCAAACCTGCAGGATTACTTTCAGCTCAGATTTTTTTCCTATTAGGCATTCCTACAAATCATATTTAGAGAGGCCCTGGAAACCGTATTCCAGGGCGGTTGTGATGGAATCAAATATTGGTGATGCAATTGCACCGCAGGGATGGATTCAGTGGCCAGGGGGAAGTTTTTCTTCCATTTCAACGCTATACTTTTCTGAATATGTAAATACAGGCCTCGGAGCTAGTACTTATGGGAGAGTTAATTGGCCTGGTTTTCATAACATTGAAGTAATAGAAGCCTACAAATTCACTGTTGATTTCATTGATGGAATGGGTTGGTTGCCCGATACTGGAGTCCCTTTCTTGCCTGGTCTCGGTGGTCCAATTGCGGCGGACTATAGCTTGAATTAATACAGTCTAGAAATAAGTAATTAAATGAGTCATTTTTTGCATGAACCTTTAGTTAAAACACCCAAGAGTAGACAAAGTAATAGTATATACGTGATATGTAATTATTATTCCTCTGGTGGAAGTAATAATAAATCCTTATTTTGATTTTCATTATTCAAGTTTTTGAATTCTCTGCAAAAATTTCCGTCACATTTAACTGTGCTTCTTAGTACAATTTGTTGACATAGAAGTAGAGGTGTCAAAATGGATTGGGCAAAGCTTGAATCTAGGCTCGGATTGGCTATTTCGATTACCGGTCCAAGTTTTGATTAGGTAACATTTTAAACGAGACTAGAGCGGATCAGTCCATGGCTCGGCCCAAAAGCCAGCCAATCTGATAATTTAAATTTTTTATTTTAAGAAATTTTGAATTTCAAAATAAAATGAAAATTGCCTGTTTTAATTTAAATCAAGGCAGAAAGAGTCAATCACGGCAGAACATAGTTTTCAATCACGGCAGAACATAGGTAAAATTCAATGATGGTACAAGAAACTCCGAAGAAGAGCAAAATTCAAAGTTTGAGGACCAAAAGGTAAATACTCAAAAGTTATATCTAACCTCACGATGAAAATTCAAGAGTGCTCGGAATCAATTGGATAAAGAAATACATCAAAAAAATGAAATATAATAAAAGTATGAACACACATCAAGTTCCAACCGGAAAAAAATTATGCATCATTTTCAGACTCGTATTGAGACCCATTTTTGACATAGCAAATGATCAAATTTGAAAATGGTATCTTAGGACAAGTTGTAGTCCTTTGAATTATCTTTCTAACGCATCTTGAATCGCCTCAATTGAACATCAAAAGAAAACGTTATGGCAAAAGATTGAATGATGTACAGTGCAATCGAAGCTAAAGACGGTGTCCAGGCGCTATGTTTCTGATTTTTCTTCCGAAAGTCGACGCTCAGGCACCCAATCGCAAAGCCTAGGCGCCTCGCTGATGTCAAATAGGATTTCAAGTGAAATTCATCTTTTTAAAAGCCCAACTCAACTAATACTTTTCCAAAACTTGAATAAGATACAAATACAACCCTAGAGAAGAGAATTGAAGGAGTGGATTCCTCACATTGAGAGGAAAAAAACTACAACTTGAGATTGAGAGAACAAGATCAAAGAGGAGAAGAACACATAATCATTAAGATCAAGTAGCAAAAGCTAGGGGTTGAAGACTCTTGAGGTTGAAGAAGATTCTTAGTGCCAAATTTAATTCTTTCCATGATCAATATTTCAAAACCCGGTCATGAACTCTATACTTTTTGTTTTTCTTCCATCATCATGTGTAGCTAAATTTATTATTAGTGCGAACAATGTAACTTTTTGAAACACTTTATTTCTTTTATTCAAGATTTAAGTTCCTTTATGCATATGTGTTGATTTTAAATATGTTTTCAATGCTTTGAATTCTTTGGCCAATTATTCAATGATTTTGTGAACAATAATTACGTAGAGATGGGGGTTATTTATTTAGACCACATATTAAAATTCTGTAAATTATTATAACGTGTAGAGATACCTATATTAATTACTGCAATCATATATGAAATCTTGGCACCAATATTTCGTTTAACTAAGTTTGATTCGCATAGAGATATGGAATTAAAGTAGTTAAATAGGCTCATTGAGAACTCGAAATGGGCAAATTGAATACAATAGGAGAATTCGACCCAACACTACCTAAGACTTTATGAATCTTAATTTAAGACTTAAAGGTGATCCATAGGTAAAATTGTTCCGCTCTAATATCCATTTATTATTTGAATTATCAATCAATCTTTGTGTGCATCCACATATTGTTAAGTAGTTGGATTAAAAATCAAATCATAAAAATCTTTATTTGTTTTGTTGAATAGTAGCTAGAAAGAAAAATTAAGTTGAGTGCTAAAGTATAGTTCTCACGGAAATGATAATTCGGATTCATTTGTCCACTTACTACTTGTTACGATCCGTAGACTTGCGAAAATAAAATCAACAACAAGTTTTTGACATCTTTGCTAGGGACTATTTACTTCTAATCTTAATTTGTTTTATTTTCAACTGCTATTTGATTTGTTTATTTTATTTTATTTACAAAAAAAGTGTTCGTTGTATGCTCCGTATTCAAGACAACGATATTAAACAGTTTAATTTGGAAATAGAATGTACCTTCAGATGAAGACGCAAAGAACAAAAATAAAAATAGCAACATCAAATGGCTAACAATCTAAACAGCCCTATCCCTATACACCAATTGAATAGATGGCTGCGAGAGATCAACGACAAGAGCAAAGGGAAATAAATGAAGGAAACTTACTGGTATTTATGTTTTTGGTGCCTATAACAACACCCGCACATTCCAATATTGTGTATCCAAATTTTGGGGTGAACAACTTTCAGATAAGAGCAAACTGGATTAATTTGATGAGCAATACTCTAAAATTCTACGGGCTACCTCATGAGAACCCAAACACACATATCTCTACATTTCTAAGGAATTCTCAAAATTGTCATGCTCCTGGGTTTAATAAGGACGCTATCAAGCTGTGATTATTCCCTTACATACCAAGAGATGCAGCATTGGAGTGGTTAGATGCTGAACCTCATGGAAGCATTACTAAATGGGAAAAACTAACTAGGAAATTTTGCAACAAATTCTTTCCATTGGCTAAGGAGACAAAAATCATATTGAATATTCAAATCTTCCAACACAGAGATGGGGAGAGCTATCCGAAGTATGGAACAGGTTCAAGGAATTGATGAGGAAGTGTCTAAATCATGGGATCACTATTGGAAATCAAGTACAATATTTCTACACAGGGACTTTCACCACTGTCCAAATCTCAAGCAGATTACTCTGCAGGCGGATCGATCATTGGGAAGTCAATGCAACAATGTATGGATCTGTTTGAGTTTATTGTCACTACACATTTAATGTTCTCATCAGAAAGAGTGGTACCACCAATAGCAGCTGAAATGTATGAATTAGACAATACAACTTCTACTAATGCACAAATTGCTGTTTTGACGAAACAGGTGAAATTACTTGTAAAATTGCAAACACGTGGAGCAAATGTAGTGATGACTAGTTCAACTTGTAAAAAATGTGAGAAAAATCACACTTCAAAAAATTGCTTGGTGCTTGCTTTTTGGGAGGAACGAGTAAATTTTATTCAAAATGACTCCCATAATTTCAACTCATGTGGGATCAATTTCCAGCAAGAAAGAAGACCAAATTTGGTGGAGATGTTTTCAACAACATGCGCAGAAGACGGACAATGTGTTTTAGCAAATTGACACAAACTTTTAAAATCAGCGGGCATCCATCAAGAAATTAAAGACACAAATTGGTCAGATAACACAACAACTTGCAGAACGCCCACAAAGGACATTACCAAGCAATACAATGATAAATCCTAAGGAATATGTGATAACAATTAAAGTAGTAGAGAACGATCCACCCAAGGCCCCCATGAACGTTAAAGCATATGTATCCCCACTCTCATTTCCACAATGAGTTCGAAAGAAGTCAATAGAGCAACACATTCATGCCATAACTACAAAAAGGAAGGTAAAATAACCAGAGATTACTGCAAAGAAACCCAAAAGAAAAGATGATCTTGATTTGATTGATAAAGTTACAATGGTAGAAAAATCTGCCAAAGTACCAAGTCCAGTCAAAGCATACGTGCCTCCCATTCCTTTTCTTCAAAAGCTCAAGAAGAACAAACAAGCCACAAAATATGAAAAAAAAAAATCTATGTTCTCAAAAAGCTCTAGATCAATATTTCGTTCATTGATCCAATATTACAAATCCCGAACTACACAAAAATTTTGAAAGAAATGATGACAAAGAAAATAAAGCTTCCAAAGTTTGAAATTGTGACATTAACGGAGGAGAGCAGTGCAAAAGTCCTAAACAAATTGCCACCCAAATTGAAGGATCCAAATAGTTTTACTTTATCAATTTCAATTGGAAATTCCTATTCAATTAATGCATTGTGTGACACATGCGCTATGTTTCAAAATTTTCTTTCGAAAGTCAGCGCTCAGGTGCCCAATCGTAATGACTAGGTGCCTCGTTGTAGTCAAATAAGGTTTTCAAGTGAAATTCATCTTTTTAAAAGCCCAACTCAACAAAAACTCTTCTGACTAGCATCTAAAAGTGCTTTAAAAAAATGTCATTTACAAGACATTTTACATTCATTTTGTATAAGTTCACTAATGTTAGTCTCTAAGTTCAATTCTCTTGCCATAAATTCAATTTGCATAAATCCATGATTAAAAATTCAATTAATCAAAATATATATTTAAATACATGTTAGCGTGAGTAATATACTTTTGAAAGAGTATTTATTTGATGTATTTCATATGTATTTTCAATGTAGAACGAGTGGAGCAAGTGGAGGAAAAAATGTTGATAAGTCAAGAATGATGAGCTGTCTCGAGTAAAGATGTAGTTCCCTCAATAAAATGATCATAACTTGATATGCGGGTTATTTGTTTAAACCACGAATTAAAATTCGATAAATTAATATAATGTGTAGAGATATATATATTAATTATTACGATCGTATATGAATTCTTAGAACCAATCTTTTATTTAACTAAGTTTAATTCACATAGAGATATGGAATTGAAGTCGTTAAATAGGCTCAATAAGAACTCGAGAGAGGTAAATTGAATTCAATAGGAGAATTCAACCAAACACTACCTTATAATTTATGAATCTTAATTTAAGACTTAAAGGTGATCCATATGTAAAATTGTTCCGCCCTAATATCTGTTTATTATTTGAATTATCAATCATTATTTGTGTTCATCCACGTATTATTAAATAGTTAGATTAAAAATCAACTCATAAAAATCTTTATTTGCTTTGTTGAATAGTAGTTAGAAAGAAATTAAATTAAGTGCTAAAGTATAATTTTCACGAGAACGATAATCCAGACTTGTATGCCTATTTACTATTAGTTACGATTCGTACACTTATGAAAATA